TTTAGTGGCTATACCGTTTTGCACTTCCCCTAACAATGTATGAGACATCCAGTTGCTTCATATTCTTGCTGATATAGTTGGTATAGTCAGTTAAAAAAAAAATTTCAGCCTTCCTAGTGGGTGTGTAGTATTATCTCATTGTGGTTTTGACATTTGCCTGATGACTAATGATGTTGTCCATCTTTTCCTGTGCTTAACGACACACTTGTATATCTTCTTTGGTCTGAGATGGCACAGGACCCTGGGGCCCCTGGGTGCACAGGGCCTTTCACCACCCCAAGGCAGCCGGGAGGTGGCTTGACCTCTTCTGGAAGGAAAGAGAGGCTGTGGGGAGCCCGGCCTCCTGGGGTGTGGGGAGGGCGCTTTGGGCACTGACACCCAAGCTCAGGTGGGAGGGAGGGTGTGAGAAGTGAGTCCCAGGCCATGAACAGCAGGTACAGAGTGATCAAGATGAAGTCCCAAGCGATGGACAGCAGGTACAAAGTCATCGAGATGAAGGATCTTGGTGCATTTGAAGAACTAAGGGCAGGACCCTGCAACTGAGGCTTGGAGTGGAGGGTGGGAGGGGTTTCTTAGAAAATTAAGACTAAAGTGTAGGTTTCCTCTCTAGCAGTATAGATCAGTGCAGTGTCTGGAGTCTGACGGAGTTCAAATTCTGACTCTGCCACTCTATGAGCAGCAATTTTCTTAATTTCTCTGAGCTTCTTTTGCTTTTTAAGAAATGTTTTTGAGACAGGGTCTCTGTCACCCACACTGGAATGCAGTGGTGTGATCATAGTTCACTGCAGCCTCGACCTCCTGGGCTCAAATGATCTTCCTGCCTCAGCCTCCTGAGTGGCTGGGACCACAGGCACACACCGTCACAAGCACTAAGTTTTTATATTTTTCTTGGAGGCAAAGTCTCACTTTCTTCCCCAGGATGATCTTGAACTTCTGGGCCAAGCAATCCTCCCACCCTAGTCTTCCAGAGTGCTGGGATTACAGGTGTGAGCCACCTTACCTGGCCTGTTGTTTTTTTTTTTTTAATGGGATTGATATGGTTTTTATCAAGATTTAACAAACAACCCCTACTACACAGAAAGCTCTTAGCACAGTTTCTGGTTTATAGAAGTAACCAAAAAGGTTAAATGATTATTCATTATTGTATGGCTTATGCATAGCTTTTATTTCCTTGTTGATAGTGTAGTTTTATATAGTAAATGTGGTAGGATCATTAATATTCTCCAATAACATCTATTCTTTCGTGGAACTAATTGCTAAGTTTGTTAGTTGTCTGACTAAATACAATTTTTTGAAGAGTGAGTATTTTCTGTTACTTTAGAACACTGTGTTCTTAACATAAAGTACACAGTGGTCCTCAGAAGATCTTTTGAAATCCCTGATCCTGTATGGAAAGTACTGGGTGTGTATGACTATAGATATCTTCCGGTTCCAAAAACTACTACTCCGAAGGTTAGGAACTGCTGCTTTAAACGGTGTTTTCAAGTACATGCAGCGTGGGCCTGCAGATGCTGTGTAACTCTCTGTGGGATTGGGGCTGCCTGTTCTTTCTGGGCTCCGAAGTACATTGAGAGTAGCTCGTACACAGTGACTGTGGTGATTGGGCTTGGCTGTGACCTGGTATGGACCTGCTTGTCCAGGGCAGCTAACATGCAGAGAAATGGCATATTTGATTATGTCATGCATATTTTTTCTATAACTATAATTCTTTATTAAAATACTCTGAGTAGCTGTTATACAGTGTAAAATTTTAATAAGCTCATATTATTAGACTAAAAGAATTAGTTGAGGAAAAATGTGGTTCATGTTCAAAGAAAACTAAGTACCTAGGCACAAAGTTGTCATCTCTGTATTGAACTCTTTTCCATTACTGCCTGCATCGACTTGGTTTTTCTACCTTTCTGGTAGGAGTCCTGTACTTTTTCACACCAGGGCTACTCACCCAGCTGTCTAGTTTTCAGGACGAGGGGTAGGAGTGTTGCATTTCCACCTCTAGAGCAGGTGCCGATTAATCTTTCTGGAACTAACTATTGAGGCTGTTCTTTTGCCAAAACTAGCCCTAGGGAAGTCCTCGGAAGCCTATTTCTTTATCTTTATTTTCCTAGGTTAGTAATGGAAAGACGAGGTGGGGGAGTGGGAGAGTGGAGGGCCCTGCCAGGTGTAATTCTCCTTGCTGGGCACAAACTCTGCCAGGCTGTCTTTGAAATAGCAAGAGTCCTGTTGATAATTACCTCTCAACTCTAGGCAGTTCCCTGCCTGCCTTATCCTTTCAGTGATGCCCTCATTTCTAGTAGGAATGGAAGGAGAATATGACTCTGCTTAATAGAAAAAGTTGGTCATAGCAGGGATTCTTCAAAAAAGATGGTTACATCTCTTATTTTTTGAGACAGAATCTTGCTCTGTTGCCCAGGCTGGAGTACAGTGGCGTGATCTTGGATCACTGCAACCTCCACCTCCCAGGTTCAAGTGATTCTCCTGCCTCAGCCTCCTGAGTAGCTGGGATTACAGGCCTGTGCCACCATGCTGGCTAATTTTTGTATTTTAGTAGAGACAGGGCTTTACCATGTTGGCCATGCTGGTCTTGAACACCTGGCCTCAAGTGATCCACCCACCTCAGTCTCCTAAAGTGCTGGGATTATAGGTGTGAGCCACTGCACCTGGCCAAGATGGCTACATTTCTAAAACTTCTCATTTTAATTGAAGAATGCATATTCATAGACTGACCATGGGATCTGAGCCAAGGCCTTGCCTTGCTTGACCCATGGACTCTGTCCCTTTGTCCGTAGATCACACCCGTAAGGCCTTGTCTACATTTCCATGCTCAGTATCTTATGTAGTGTCAGAACACTTGTATGTCAGGCAATGCAAATGTAAACCCTTGTCATTTTTTACAGTATATTTACAGTATTTTCCACTTGTTTTATCTACTCCTAATTTGATAGCTATGTTTTAATAACCCATTTTTATTGAATCTTTCTGAAGAATTCAAACTAACATTCAGAAATAACAGCACAGGACATGACTCTTAGTAAGCAGATAACTCATGGTGGGAATAGTTGTGCATGAGCCTCCTTCTGGTTAGAGCAAATTAGATGAGTGGCTGAGGGAAAGTTGCCTCACTTCTCTAGGTATTGGTTTGCTCATCGGTAAAATGAGGATAAGAATAGTTCTTACTTGGTTGAGTCGATGTGGGAATTGAATCACATGTGAAACCTACTTCCCTGTCCCTGGCCTATTATAAGAGCTCAAAAAAATGTAGCCATTATTTTTATTTTTAACATCATCCCCACAACTCCCCTTACTACTGTTATTCCTAGAGAGTAGCCCCTTCAATATGAGTGTTCATTGTGCCCTGGGATTAGTCAGTGTGTTTTATAGAGTGGATAGAAAAATTAAGTTAATTCAGTGGTTGGTTAAGAGCTTCCACTGTTTTGTTGGAGACCATACTTGGTAAAATGCATAGTCTTAAAGTGAATTTACTCATTAGGTGTTTAATAATGTGCTGGGGCATATAGTAGATGCTCATGAAGCAAATTCACTTTAAGACTATGCATTTTACCAAGCCTATGTGCTAGGCTTGGAGAATCCAACAATAATGACACAGTTCTGCCCTCAGGAGTGTCTATAGTGTAAGGGCTTCTTGCGGATAAACAGTGAACATCATGTTGCAGGAGGCTGGCACAGGTTGCCGTCACCAGGAGCACTTGAGGTGTGAGGACAGTGGGCAGGCAAGGCATTCTAAAGAGGCTTCAACCTAGCTGAGACTTTAAGGCCAAATGGGAGAGATAGGGAACAGCATCTTCAGAACGCTGTTGGGGTGTGAAGCATGGAATACGTAAGGGAGGTGAACAATGTCAAGGTCGGCCAGATCCTGCAAGTCTTCCCATGCACGGACCCACTTACTCCTGCATCCTGATAGTGCAAGGGAGGGGGTCTCATCCCCACCCTCATGATGAGAACATGGAAGTATAGACAGGTGAAGTGACAAACTCTGGCCACACAGCAGCGAGTAGTAGTTGTGAGGTTCATCTCATTCCAGTTGTGTTTGGCTCCAGAGCCCATGAGTTCAGCTACGCCATTGCACAGGAGGGAAAGAGCAGGTTTAAAGAGAAAGAGGGGCTGGGCACGGTGGCTCATGCTTGTAATCCCAGCACTTTGGGAGGCCAAGGCAGATAGATCACTTGAGATCAGGAGTTTGAGACCAGCCTGGCCAACTTGATAAAACCCTGTCTCTACTAAAAATACAAAAAATTAGCTGGGTGTGGTGGCGCACCCCTGTAATCCCAGGCACTGAGGGAGACTAAGGCAAGAAGATCACTTGAACCCTGGAGATGGAGTTTGCAGTGAGCCGAGATTGTACCACTGCACTCCAGCCTGGGCAGCAAAGCGAGACTCAGTCTCGGGGAGAAAAAAAAAAAGGAAGAGAAGGATGCTAATTGGCTCAGTTTTAGCCAGAATGAGTTGGAGGAACAGGTGTGGTTGGGTGTTGTAGGGCCACAGATATGGATGGATGGGACTGTATGTCATGGCATCTATGAGGTTACATAAGTACGTTTAGAACAGACTAGATGTGGAGTGGACTTTCTGTCAGTGTCTTGCTAACCAGGCCAAACGGATTTGTTTTTCCTTTGACTGCATTAACCTGTTTGCACAGCCCCACGTGGCTGTTTTTCTTAGAGGTGAGCATCTGCTAACTTGCTGAGTTCTCTAGTAGAGGAGTGGTTCCCTTCACCCATGCATTAGACAGCCTGCACTAAAAGAAAGGCGTCTGGCTCTTCTCTGTGACTCTCGTTCCTATTACTTTTCTTTTGGGGTTTTTCAACTGACCATTTCATTTTGGCTGAATTCTCCACTTTGTGATTCTGAGAGACTTTAGCTGTGAAAGGGCTTTTTGCGAAGGTAGAAAGTATGCCACAAGGCCATGTCTTGACCGAAGTGTGACTTGTCACAGTTGATGCGCCATTTTGAGTTGTTTTTCTTCACCCACCCTTCCTCTTTAGATGGATTTGAAGACTATGGTCCAGATTGCAACAGCATGAGAGTAACGGCCTTCTTGGATGTTCCAGGCCAGGATAACCTGCTTCCGCTTACTCGCCTGGAGAAGTATGCCTTCAGCGAGAACACCTTCAACCGGTAAGTCCAACTAGGCCTGTGCAGTGTGTTGACAACTGTGTTGTGTGCTTTATGCTGACAATTGGGGCCACTTCTCTGCGACAGCTTTCAGGTGACTTCATGGATGATGAGGTAGGTGGGATACAGATGGTCACCAGGATGCTGGGGTTGTGTCTGAATGGTCCCATCTTATTAGGCTTTTTCATTATTTTTGTTATTGTTTTACTGACCACGTGGTAAGCCAGGAAGGAAATGGTGACGAATTTCCTGGTGTTTAAGTGATTAGGATTGCTAACTGAGTTTCTTTCACATATGCAGTACTCAGAAAAGTCATGCATTCCTTAATTGAGAAGCACCAAGAAGCATCAGTTGGAAGCACTGTCTGCCCGCTTTGTTTTTTGACTGCACTGTGCATCAGGGACCTCGGTGACAGTGTGTCATGCCATGCTCCATTGTCACTGTGTGTGATGTTGGCAGGGTTCGACTCCAGGCTCACATTGGCTAGGCAGATGACCTTGATTCTTAATTTCCTCAAGAAAGCAGGAACTAAGGCTTCTCTTTCCATTTACACTCTACCCAAACTTCTGTGAATTTGAAAGCATTCTCCCCTCCTTTCTCAGCTGAAAGTCTCTCTCCTCCTGTTCTGCCCTTTGACGGGCCATCTGTCCTGGATCCCTCGCCTCCTTCAGGTTTGCCTTCTGTCCTCTGCTGTCCTTACCTGTTACAGGTACCTTTTCATGCCACTTGCAATACTGGCTTGTCTCCTTCTAAACTGTCCTCTGAGCTTCGCTACTTTTGTCCTTCCCCATGTAGTCCCTAACTACACCACTCTTTCCTTACCTTCACTGACTGAATTTTAAAAATTACATTCTATTAAAAAGAAAAAGAAACAAGAAAAGTTACATTCCATGCCAAATATAGGCTAAGCCCTTTTATCTATTAAATCATAGCAAGCTCACAAGGATGTTACTGGATGCATCCATTTAATGTTGCAGGTGAGCCCATTATTATTCTCCTTTTTTGCTAGGGAATGATGATATCCTGAATGATGTCTTTTTTTCTTTTTTGTCTTTCTAGTTTTGGCACCTATCTACCGCCAAATAATGTAATTTAATTTTGTTGTTTCTGGACTTTATATATGTGAAATCATGCAGAATGTGTTACTTTTTTGGATTTTGCATATATTAATAGTTTGAATTTGTTCTTTTTTTAATAGTGTTCTTAAATATACTGACATTTATCCAACTACTATTGTTAAAGAGTTGAAAGCTTTTTGACTATTACAAACAGTTTTCTTGTGAACAGTCTTGTAGCTGTATCTGGGGACACACAAGTATGCATTTCTGTAGGACATGTACCCAGGAAAGAACTGCTGTGTGATGGTGTGTGCTTCTCTTCTACTTTAGTAGACAATGCCAGTTTTCCAAAGTGGTTACATCAATTTATACTCCTACCTTTGCCCTACTATTTTTTTTTTTTTTTGATATGGAGTCTGACTTCTTCGCCCAGGCTGGAGTGCAGTGGCGTGATCTTGGCTTACTGCAACCTCTGCCTCCTGGGTTCAAGCAATTCTCTTGCCATAGCCTCTCAAGTAGCTGGGAATACAGGTGCCCACCACCATGCCCTGCCAAGTTTTGTAGTTTTAGTAGAGATGAGGTTTTACTGTGTTGCCCAGGCTAGTCTCAAACTCCTGACCTCGGTTGATCCACCTGCCTCGGCCTCCCGGAGTGCTGGGATTACAGGTTTGAGCCACCATGCCCACCGGCCTTACCTTTGTCCTACATTTTATCTGCCAACTGGTATTGCCAGATTTTTGTTTTTTAGCCAATCCAGTAGTTTGGTAGTGTATATAATGGTATCACTTTGTGATCTGAATTTTTTGTTTTCCTTACTATGAGTTTAAACACCTTTTCACATGTTTGTTGAACATTCGTATTTCTCTTTTGTGAAGTGCCTATTCAAATCTTTGGTTGAATTGGCAGGGAGAAGATAGGTTGTCTTTTTATTATTGATTTGTGGAAATTCTGTGTGTATTCTGGATTTCAAACCTTTGTTAATTATGTATGATAAACATCTTTCAACTGGTGGCTTGTGTTTAAACTCCCTTTGTGGTATTCTTTTGGTGACCAGAAGCTATTCTTTTTTTTTTGAGACTTTGGGTAACAAGGTAACAAGTCTCGCTCTGTTACCCAGCTAGAGTGCAGTGGTGCAGTTCATGGCTGGAGCCTCAAACTCCTGGGCTCAAGAGATCCTCCTGCTTCAGCCTCCTGAGTAGCTGTGACTACAGGCACATGCCCAGTGACTTTATTTTGCATAGAAACAGGGTCTCACTATGTTGTCTAGGCTGATTTCAAAGTCCTGGCCTCAAAGGTATGAGCACTGTACCTGGCACACAAGCTGTTCACTTTAATGTAGTTAAATTTTTTGACATTTTCCTTTATACTTAGGGCATTTAGAAGCTTTTTTCTCTAGTTCTTTATATTGCTTTAAAACCTTTATTTTTTTTCCTGTGAAAGAAATATACTATAGTCTATAATCTGCCTGAACTTAATTTTTCTTTATCATTTGAAAAATGACTCTAGCTTCATTTTTCTAATGTCACAGTGTCATTTATCAAAAATGTGTTCTTTCCTCACTGCTCTGGAGTGCCACCTCTGTAATAGTCCAGCCTCTGTTTACAGTCTTTGTCTGGACTCTCTCTTCTCTTCCAGTGGTTCCCTCCGCCAATACTGCCTTGTTTTGATTACTGTAGATTTATAGTAAGTCTTGATATTTGATATAACAAGTCTTCTCGTCTTGTTTTTCTTCTTTGGCATGACTTGTTATTCTTGGTCCTTTGTATTACCATATAAATTTTAAATCCAGCTAACCAGATTCTAACAAAATAAAACAAAACAGAACATCTATTAGGATTTTGATTGGGTTTGCATTGAATCTATAGGTCAATTTGGAGAGTATTGCCCTTTTTGTAATATGTAGACTTCCAGTCCATAAACATGGTATATCTTTTCATTTATCTAGGTTTTTCTTTAGTTTCCCAATACAGTCTGGTCATTTTCTCTGCAGAAGTTTTATGCTTTTTTTTGGCTGGGCATTTTAAAGGAAATTTGGGACATCATATTTTATCCAGTTAAGAACTTAGAGCAAATCTAACTGAAATATCATCACATTTAACAAAATCAACAACAATGCTTTCCAGTTTACCATTCTATGTCCTTAAGTACTTAAGAGGAAACTGTACAATATAAAATGCAGATGTTACAAAAGAAAAGCCAAAAAAACAAAGAAACTGAACCAAGTTTTCCTGACTATCTCAAAAATACCTTTTATGGTTGATTTGTTTGAATCATGATCCAAATAAGGTCTACACATTTCATTAGGTAGATGTGTCTCTTAAATCTGTTTTTGTTTACAGTTTTTTTTCTTTTTGATCTTAAACTCCTTTTAATCTCCAATGGTTCTTTCTTTCATCTTTCTCTATATCATCTATTTGTTGAAGGGATTATTAGCTTAGAGAATTTTCCACATTCTGTGTTTGGTGGTCATCATTCTCATGGTATCATTTGCTCTGTCCTTTCTGTAAACTGAAAACCACATTTGGAGAATTGATTATATTCTGCTTCAATTTTTTTTAAAAACAAAACCTCATATGTTGTTTTGTCAAGTTCATATTACAAAACATCAGGAAACAATGTCTAGTTGTCACACTTTTAGAGATCTCATATTGAGCAGTGGGCTCAGGTGTTTTGTTTTTTCATTATAAAATTCCTCACCAATCTTTCTTCTGGTGATTTCAGAGTTCACAAATAATCATTGCTTAAATCTGTTATTTCATTCTGGATTGGAAAATGGCAATTTCTTTTTTCTTTTCTTTTTAATTGTCTGCGAGATCTGCAGTGTGGCCCCATTTCCATCCTGCTATTTGTTATTTGTGCCTTCTTTCTTTTTTTTCCCCCTAGATAATTCTTACCAGAAGGTTATGAATTTCATTAGTTATTTCAAAGAATCAAGTTTTGGCTTTGTTTCCTGTTGTGTGTTTCTTTTCTATAATAGTTCAGTAATATCTGCTCTAATCTGTATTATTTTTTTCTCGGGTTTTTTTTTTTTCACTTTTGGGATTTAATTGCTTTTTCTTACTTGAAGGATACTTAGTTTAATTTTTTTGTTTTTTGTTTTTGGCTTTTCTTTTGTAACATCTGCATTTAATATTGTACAGTTTCCTCTTAGGTACTATCTTAGCTGCATCCTCAAGTTTTTATATATAATATTTTCATTATTTCTCAGCACAAGTATTTTTAATGTTAATAATGATTTCTCCTTTGATCATTTAGTAATTCAGAAGTGTGTTGTTGTATTTCCAGATATTTGAGGATTTTCCAGATATCTTTCTGTTATTCATTTGTAATTTAATTCTTTTGTGGTCAGAGAACATACTTTGTATTTTTTCCCTTTTAAATTTGTTGAGATTTATTTTATGGCTCCAAATGTGTTCTATCTTAGTAAACTATTCCATATCCACTTGAAAGGAATGTGCATTGCAATGCACTGCAATGTTTTTGGGTATCTTATAAATTAGGTTAAGGGTAATACATGCTTATCTATTTTCTGTTTTACTCGTTCTGTTAGTTACTAAGAGAAATGTTGTCACCTGTAACCACAATTGTGGATTTTCCTTTTAATTTTAGTTATATGTATTTTACGTATTTTGAAGTTTTGATGTTGGGTGCATACACATTTAGTATTGTTCTGGTTTGTTGAATAAATTGATTTCTTTTTTTTGGAGACAGAGTCTTGCTCTATCCCCCAGGCTGGAGTGCAGTGGTGCGAACTTGTCTTACTGCAACCTCTGCTTCCCAGGTTCAAGCGATTCTGATTCTCCTGCCTCAGCCTCCTGAGTAGCTGGGATTACAGGTGAGCGCCACCATGCCTGCCTAATTTTTGTATTTTTAGTAGAGACAGGGTTTCACCATTTTGGTCTCCAGGCTGGTGTCGAACTCCCGACCTCAGTTGATCCACCCACC